AACACTCTTAACCGGGAAAAGGGGTATAATCTTTTGTAAGGAAATTTTTAATAAATACATATATTATGTGAAAAAAAAACTCTTCTAGGTTCTACTCATAAGATAGAGAGAGAATAATTTTTTTTTCTTTTTAAATCATACTACATTTGGTCTTTAATAAAAGAATTAGTAGACTAATTTGAGAAAATTAAATAAACTAGTTAAGTTAGTTATTTATAATAAATAGATGTTGTTTTTTCTAAAATATTCTTGCTAATCAAGTGTATTAGTTAAAACTACCATTATTACAAGTATCTTAAAAAAAATAAATATGAGAAACAAAGTAGATTTGGGTGTTATATTTGGAATAAAAATAAAAGTCAAACAAGCTCTTATATTAATAAGAGGAGGAGTATCATTTAATTTTTGGTATCAATATATTATTTTTCCTTTTATTTATTATAATGCAAATAGTTAATTGTATAGTATTTATAAGATATTTTTTGTAATTTTCACATAGATTAAAAAAACCTTAAATTGCATTAACTCTCTATTAAAATATAACAACTTTATAACTTTACCCATATTTAATATATATTTTTGTAAAAAAACACTATCCATTAATAATATAAATAAACAAAGCCAAAGAACACAACCCCTCTCAGCATTAATTCAATTTCACATAATCTCCCTCATATTTAAAAGTCTAAAAATCACACCCTCACTTTTCATATCTTGACCATTAGCCCTTACTCCTACATCACAGTAAATCACCGGAACATCACAGTTAAATCTAACAGAATACATTCCACATCAGATTAATTAAGACTATACTAGAAATGACATGTAATTTCTCATATTTTATTAACATTAAACTCTTAGATAGGATCAAGGGTAATTTTGTGATTCTATGGCAATCCCCGGTTCCCCCTCCTTGACAGCGTCTCGCTCTCCCTGTCTCTCGCAGGTCCTCTGTATTTGCGGTGCTTGTTCAGCTTTTAACCCTTATTTACATTGAAAAATCCATCCCTATGTGTCTCATCTCAGTCATCCTCTCCTCCAAATCTGGCAACTTTTTTTCTTGTGAAACTTTTTTATAGTTGCATTAATTAAACTGAAGCTCCTTCTCTGTGAGAGTTGAAATTTTTGTTTTTTGCAGACATAAAAGTAGAGATGATAGAAAGAGGGACGAAGATAAGCTCCCTCACAAAAAGCCGAAGAAGGTGATGGGAAGATAAAACATGGGGGAAAAAAAAGAAAAAGAAACTTGGGAATTGGCACAAATGTGACAAAATCACCCTCCACTAGAATGTTAGGATGAGAATAATTAAACTCAAAATTTCATGTCATTTGCCGGTTTGTTCTTCATTAGTATGAGGCGTGAGCTGGCATTTTCAGTGAAGTTTGACGGCTATTTAACGATTAGGGGGTTGATAAATAAAGTTAGAAAGTTTAGGGTGTCCATTTAACTTTTAAAGTTAAAGGAGGTCACATGTGTAACCAAAGTTGAGGGGTGCTGTATATATTTTAGCTAATAAAAAACAAAATAATATATTTATGTTAAAAATTTAATAAAGTGACTTATAAATATTATTTTTTTCCGATTCTAAATATAAGATTCTTTTTTATATGTAAAATTACACTATAAAAAAGTCTTATACTTAAAGGAGTATCTTTAAAAAAAAAGAGTCAAACTCCTCCCCAACAAAATTCGTCTTATACTTTAAACTATGGGAAGTACTCCCTCCGTTCCTTATTATAAGAGACAAATAACCGAAGTACATTGATCAAAAAAATAGTTAAAATTAGTTAAGAACAATTAATGTGTAAAAAGTATAATTTTTTTTCCAAAAATACCTCATTAATAAGAGAGAGAGCATGAGAGAGAACAATTAAATTATTAAAAGAAAGAGAAGTGGGAGGAAGAGAGAGTGTGAGTTGGAGATAATAATATGGGTAAAATAGAAAAGCAACACAAAAAGTAGAGACAACTTTTAAGTGTCTCTTATATATAGGAACATGCTATAAGTATCAAATGTCTCTTATAATAAGGAACGGAGGGAGTAATAATGAAAGAGCTTGTGTGGGAGGGCTTATTTTGGGTCATAAGCAGCTTATTTTGAAAAGAAGCCCGATTGAAAATATGATCATGTTTGGCACAGGTTATGGACTGTTGAGCTTGAAAGCTAAAAGCTGAGCAACCAAGCGTTTGAAAATAAGCTTTGATGGGGAGCTTATTTAAAGAGCTTATGGACTGTTGTCTTGTCAGAATTATTCTCCTCCCATTATTCTCTCACTCCTCCTATTATTTTCTTATTGTTCACTCTCTTTTTTTGGACTAGAGCTCATTAAACCCATGACTCGTCTCCGCCGTTGGACCAGCTCCGTCTCCTCCTCGCCAGAAGCTCCGTCGTGTTTGCCTTGCGAGCTTAAGAGTAAACTCCTCTTCGCGATTCACGATGTCAATCATGGTTTGGGGTCGACCATATTTTTTCTCTCCTTGTTCTGTGATGAAGTATTTTAATTTGACCAACAATTCTGTGATGAAGTTAAAGTCAAGATCTTTTAGAAAAGTTTTTCTCCATGTTATGTGATGAATTTTTGTTTGGGAAAAAAATCAATAAAACACCTGTTGTCATGTAAGCAATCTCACTCAAATACCGCATGGATGAGTTTTTGTCAAAAGTTTGCCTCGTCAACAAAATGCAATAATTTTTTTATGGTTTCACTAATATTTTAAAATTTAATTTACTCATTCAATTTCATTATTTCATATTAAATTAATTTAAATTTATTTTATTATGTAAATTAATTTTTTTATCATGTTCCGGTTTATATTTGCAAATTTTTTAATGATTTTTTTAAAGTTTTAAAATTTAATTCACTCATTAAATTTGACTTATTCATATTAAATTATTTTAATTTTATTGTATCACATGAAATCAGTTTTTTTAATTATTTTTCATTATTTATTAAAACTTATATCTATTTTACAATCAAACTTATTTTTACTCAAATCATAATTCAAATAACTCTTTGCCAATCTCACTTTTATAAACTAATTTTTTTGAACTCTAATTTAAATACAATTCAATTTATTTAATTTAGTTTTTATCTAATTTTATTTTTTTATAAATTAAATTAATAATAAATTACTTTTTCAGTCCCCGATCCAAACGGATGCAAAATCATTCTGCGTTTCTGACCGGCTTGTCCCCCATTCATATTTTTTTCCCGAGTCACGTGTCACCTAACCCCAAAGCTTCCTTCTCTCTTCCGGTGCGGAATCAAGGACGAGAAATTCTTCGATCGGCGATGAGCAGGCGAACAGGAACAGGCGATCCATCGGCTTTGACTCGGCTGGTAGAATCCGTCTTTGCATTTGTCAAATTCGCTGAGTTTGAGATCCTCTTCTTTCTTTTCTTGTTATCGCTTATGTTATCTTCAAAGACATTGTAAGTTCCTCCTTCCTTTCCCTTTCTGTGATTTAGACGTAAATTTCAATTTCTCTGGTGTACGGATATGAATACTTTCTTGTTCTGGATCAATTTGATTCTTGATGTTTAGTCTTAAGGAATAATTCGGATAGACCTAGACATTATCCTGTGTATATCTCAATGACGCACTGCTGATCTGTTGCCAGTGTTGTTCATTTTCACACAATTTCGCTGTTTGTAACTAACACAACTTCCTTGTGAATAAATAAATTCCATTTATATTGTCTCTCAGGTTAAAGATTCATCCTTGTCTTGGTGGAATTAATTGGACACGAAACATTTTATTGAGGTTTCAGTTATTTGTAGTAAATTGGTGGAAAGTTCTTTGGAAAGGTTAATGATTTATTCTCTAGTTTACAGAGAATTGTATCTATGGGTTGAGTGTTTGACATTACATAACTTGTTTCAAACCTGAAAGAATAACTACGGGGTTCTTTGATATGTAGAATATTAGGTATGAAAAGAGAAACAAAAGGAAGATCTAAGTGGAAGACGACTCTCGTCCGTTGCAAAAAATGAGTGATGAAAAGATACACATTGTTGGGTGATGATGAAGCCATAAGAGACCCTGCATATTTCTTTTTTTTTTTTTAACATTTTTTTTTGGGATAAAAAGTCAAAATATCATTAAAATGTTCATTTTCTGTTTAATAGAGATAACAGGAACATACTATACAGTTTTTTTTTTTGGGTGGTTTCTTTTCAATCGAGAGGGAGAGGGATACCATACGTGTCATAAAAATTTAATGGGAGTCCCTCTTTTAGGATGTATGTGTAACATGTGATACAATGATGGGGTTGTCAAAGATATTCCTTTATAAAGTTACAATTTTGTGGAATCATGCAAGTTAGATGTAGTTAGTTTGTTTCTTTCATAACTTGAAGCATCACTGTTGGATCAGCAATTGGTTCCCATTTTTAATAGAACAATGTCATATCCAATACTATTGGCTGACTTTAACAATCCCTGCCGCAGAAATCCGAAAACAATGACCGGAGTTTAAGTTCAGGAATGTACATACTAAGATTCCTCAGCTGTAGTTAGATACTACTTTTATTATTTCCAAAGCACGATAAGGTTGCTGATTAGGGCTGATGGCGACTGGGCAGAGGCAGAGAGGCCTTCCTAGTTTATTTCTGCAAACCTAGTCCCCTTTCCCATGTTTTAGATAGGGAGTAATTTACCTAGCCTTTGTCCTAAGGTGCAGAAATTTCTCCTATCACCTCTATATGGGGCAATACCAACGGAGATCTCACTAAAAGGGAAATTGCCATCCCTATCTAGGACAATAAGACGACCGCAACAGGTTTAGTACTGTCGTCCTCTTCATAGCTGAGTAATGAACTTGTGCAAGGTTTAGCACCGTCTCTGCATTACTTTGTTTTGTTGATGATGCTCAATTAATCATTTGTACTTAATATCTGGATCTTTATGTCACATTTTGTCTTGATAAGTTACTGAACTGGACTATTTGATCAATATTATTTCCAAATATTTGATTATTAATAGAGTATAATGACGTCGTTCAATCCATATATCCTACTCCACGATATCTTTAGTTCTCAATCTTCATATTTCCCTGTTCTCTGCCTGTTATCCGATAATTGCCTTTGCAAATAAATGTTAATAATTGATTATTTCCATTGCAGACATCAAGGCCTGAATACAATCAAATACTTGTGAAGAAGCCTGGCGGAATTGATCTTTGGCCTTACTAGAAGAGAAGTTTTTGTTTGAATATGTTGGATGTTAGCTTAGCATCAATCGTATGTTTAGTATGCCCTCCTATGACTGTGCAGGGTCCTTATCGTATTCATATGTTACATTAATTTTGTAAGCAAATCATATGACCCTTCGAAATTGTATACAGTTCCATTCACCACACAGGAATAGCAAAACCGAGTAGAAGAATTGCAACATTTCTGGGTTTTAAACCTCATCTCTATTCTACTTGTGTCTTCCGTTTGCCCCTTTGCATGATTAGTTATGCCTTATATATAGTGGTTTAATGCTGGTAAATGAACCTAACTTCCCTTTTATGATGATGATGATTTCCTTGATCTCCCCCCCCCCGGGGGGCCCCCAAAAAAAAACCAACAAAAAAATGGAAGAAGGCTTGATTGAGCTTTGAGTTGAACTGTTGATTAATGGAATGTAATAAGCATGAAATATTTTTTTTTAAAAAAAGTGAAGGAAACTGAAGAATACGTAATTTAAAAAACCAGAGTGTGAGTGAAGTAACTCCTTAATTCTTCGAGCAGAAAGAATTTATGAAGTTGTGTGAACTAGGATGAGTATTTGGTTTTTCGGTTCGGTTTTTTATGATAATCGAAATAACTGATTAACTAAATAGAGCGAATTTTAAACGCCGAACCGAACCGAATATAAATATATTTAAAGAGTTATATATACCCACATAAATATTTATTATAATAATATTTATTAAATATAAATATATAATATATTTATTTTGGTTTTTCGGTTATAACAGATTTTTTTTCCTACTAACCAAATCAAACACCAAAACCGAATTGTTAAGAAATAAAAATTGAATATATAACTGAACCGAAATAACCGAACCGAAAAACCGAAATCAAATTCGGTTCGGTTTTCGGTTACAGTTTGGTTTTACTTATTCCTAGTGTGAACCTAAGAAGGTGAATGAGCGAACTTGGTTCAATTCATTATATCCCTTTATTTTTTGACAACTATACGCCATTACCCCAATAATAATAAGCGCTCCAAATCACATATTTAGGCGGTCCTATACATTTTACTGAATTTTTTGTTTACTGAAACTCACGTCTGCGGACCATATCCCATTACATTCAAACAATGGGTTTCGCTTCCACTTTTATCCGACCCTCTTTTCTTCCTCCTCTTCAACATTTCTAAATTGTCTGCATGATACTGTGAACCTCCACCAAAGCCTTGATCGATCTTCCTTAAAGCTTAATCGCCAAAAAAAAGAAGGAAAAAGATAAGACAGAAGGCAAAAAAAAAAAAAAATTGGAGAAGAGGCACGAGAATGGTATTATGGTCAGAAAGCAAGGGGAAACAATTTAGAAGATGGATGTTGAGATCCTGTGATGATAAAGATTGAAGAAAGAGAAAATTCGGGAGATCAAGATGCAATGAGAATAAGAATGAGACCATAAAAGGAGAATATAATGAATAAAATTTAGAAACAGGTGAATAAAATTAATCTGTTTCTGATAAAATGTTTATTGGATTCAATCTGGGTTTAGACTGATAATAAAGCTTCATCCTTTCTATTCTTCATCGATGGAGAGAAGGATGAGGAGAGTATCTCCAGGCGAGAATGAGAAACGTTGAACAAGGGAAGGAGAGAAAAAGGAGAGTCTGATAAAAGAGGAGAGGCATCTGATTAAAAGTGTAAATTGTTTTTAGGTTCAGAGTGAACGATTTCAAGTTTGGGGAGTAGGCTGATCCTTCTAAAGGTTGACTACCGTAAGTCCGTAACCTATGAATGACGGCACAATTGTAATTTGCAAGCCATCCTTCAAGTCAGAACACTGTTAAGGTAACCTTACTTATGAGGCGTGTTTGTTGTACACGTGTAGATGCTTCTGATGAATACTTGACGCATCTCAGTCTCTTGACCATGTTATCCCTAGTTCCATACCTTGTTTCTACCAAAAGGAAATATGCTACAGTGACCTGACTTGTCTTTTCAGCACCCAGAAAATTAGAATCCACATCCAATGATCACGAGAATGCAGATTTTTGGACAATCTTAAGGTCACTTGCATAAAAAATAATGACTGATATGGTTCCTATAATGCTTCATATGCATATAAACACAGCGTTGCAATAATGTCAACAACAACGCTGAGGGTAATGTTATTTTCAAATGACTTGACCGTTTGGGATAAACATCTTACATATTTAGACTCACAAATAAAAACCACACAATATCTTTAACAAATCATTCAAATCTCAAATAAGATACTTGCCGACGGGAGACACATCATTACACTTTTAGAACTTCCATTATCCAATACAGTTTTTGTGCAGCTGCATCTAGTCTTTTTTGCTCACCTCATTTGCCCTGGCTGGTTCATTCGAGCCAGACGGATTTATATGCTTTTTCACCTCATTTGTGTTGGCTGGTTCACTCAAGCTAGACGGATCTATAAGCCTTTCCACAGCAACTTTGGCTACATCACGGCGTACTCCAATATCAGAAACAAGACGGCTAATACAGTACATGCCACAACCAACTAGTGCCAGACCACTAAAACTGGTAGTCAAGAAGCGGAGTGGTGAAGAAACTACTGCACTAACAGCAGCCACATATGATGCTGCCTGCCCACTCCGGCCTACACTAATGTTTGTGCTCACAAGAAGGCCTGTTTTGCAGTAAATTGCAAAGTCTTCACAGTTGTTTTTGAAGACATTGTAGACTCCAAATCCATTTTGAAGAAGATATCTAGCACGGTGGAGGACATCTTCAGGTGGGTCAGATGGGGCAAGTGTGCATGTGCCTCCTCGAGCTTTGGCAATGAAAAATGCCGGTGAGACACCATACTCAAAGCGATATAGATGACCACCAAAGAGAAAACAGTCCAAGCATGAAGAAATGACACCATGAAGCCTTGATTGGTCGCCGCATTTTGGACATGGATTGTCAGCAGAATGAGTGGGAGATGAACTCAAATGAGACGGTCCAAGATAGTTCCTGTGCCAATTTCTTGACCTCCTCTAGTGAAGTGGATCACCATTTCCTCGCCAACATATATTCCTGTTATCTTATACAAAAAGCAATAACCAATGCAAAATAGCCATTTCAGTATAGTTAAGAAAGAAAAAAACGATCCTTGCCAATCCAAAAGAAGATTTACAGAATTTTAAATGCGGTTTCAAAAACAACTATAGCATGCAAAAAGTTCGAAGGTTGCTCGGTCATAGTATGGATAAATAAGGACATCTAGGACCTATTGCTGTATTCTGCGGATACTATTTCTGCCACTCCTGCTAATATGTTCTTTGGTAAAAATACCCAATGCAAGGAATTCAACCTGAAGTTCCTGAATTGCTGCTCAATGGCTCATATATATATATAGGGTTAAGGTGCACCCAACACCCCCAAGTATTTTGTCAGGTGCACCCAGTGGCTTGAAGTAATTTATGGTGCAATTTTGCCCTCAAAGTAATTAAAATGGTGCACCGGTATCCCATGCTAACAGATCTGTTAGTTTGACCGTTAAATTGATGAGTCAGCACAAGTTTGACCAAAATAATCTGACGTGGCATGTCTAATAAGCAGGTGACGTGGAATTTTTTCCGGGTTAAAGTGCATCCAGCACCCCTAAGTATTTTTTCAGATGCACCCAGTGACCTAAAGTAATTTATAGTGCAATTTTGCCCTCAAAGTAATTAAAATGGTGCACCGGTATCCTATGCTAACAGATCTGTTACTTTAACTGTGAAATTGATGAGTCAGCACAAGTTTGACCAAAATAATCTGACCTGGCATGTCTAATAAGCAGGTGACATGACTTTTCTTGTTAATTCCATTGTTTTGTCTGAATATTACTCCTTTGATCCTATTTATAAGGCACTTCCAGCATGTTTCACACATACCAAGAAAAACCTTAAATTTCATTAACTCTCATTTAAATTTTAATAACTTTTCAACTTTATCCCTATTTAATATACATTATATCTCATGTAAACAAAGTCAATACAATAATAAATGAGGGGTAAATTTGCATATTCATACAAAAAATTTCTCTCAGTGCCTTATAAATAGGACCAAAAAATATCTTCTCTCTCTACCCTATAAATAGGACCAGAAGAGTATCTCTGAAAAAATTTCTTACTCTGAAAAAAATTCCAAGAGCCGAAGAGAGCATTTACTAAACAGAGAAAACAAAACAATGGCAGACGAAAAAAATTCCACTTCACCTGCTTATTAAACATGTCACGTCAGATTATTTTGGTCAAACTTGTGCTGACTCATCAATTTCACAGTTAAAGTAACAGATCTGTTAGCATAGGATACCGGTGCACCATTTTAATTATTTTAAGCCATTGGGTGCACCTGAAAAAATATTTGGGGGTACTGGATGCACCTTAATTCCGAAAAAATTCCACGTCACCTGCTTATTAGACATGCCACGTCAGATTATTTTAGTCAAACTTGTGCTGACTCATCAATTTAACAGTCAAACTAACAGATCTGTTAGCATGGGATACCGGTGTACCATTTTAATTACTTTGAGGGCAAAATTGCACCATAAATTACTTCAGCCACTGGGTGCACCTGGCAAAATACTTGGAGGTGTTGGATGCACCTTAACCTATATATATATATATATATACTGCGTATCTCAAACAGAGTCTGAAATAGGCAGCATTAATTCCCCCCCCCCCCCCATTTTCTTGATGTCAAAAACAAGCTTGGCCTGTGCTAATAACTAAGAAAAGCTCAACATCAAAAGACATAATTATTCTATATCCATGAATATATTTTTTTAAAAATCTCCTAACCCAACAGCCCAATTCTTCAATCATAAGTGAATAACAACACGAACCATAACTTAAACCATATGACAGAAGTCCAGAAACCAGAACATCTATCCATAATATTTTATAACAATATGTTCCTGTAGTCTCGTTGGTCAATCCACTGGAACTGTAATTCTGATGATTAAGAACTTCTAACTTTCGGAAGAAAAATATGCAACAGGATCACAGCCACAACACTCATCATCAAAATACCACTTTCAAGTCTCCCTTTTTCTTGGTAAAACGTTAATTTACTTTGCACATGCAAACTTCCAAGGAGAACATTGAGACAATATGCTCTCATTCCTTAAATCCACAGGGCCTGTGTAAAATCTTCAAATATTGCAGTCAAACAAGAAAAACTCTGCCGTCAAAATTTGGGAACTTCCAGCTTCAAATGCATAAGCATCATTGCACCACCACTAAACGTCCCTCATAGTGTATAATACAAATAATGTCACTTGATTCAGGAATATTGCAGCTACCATGGAAGTAACCTAAGCCACTGGGGTTTCTTACTGGGGGTTGACAGAAGTAGCCTAAATTTCAGATTGGCTCTCCTACTTGTGCTGGGATCATTTTGCAAAACGGCAGTAAGAGTTCACACCAGTAACCACACGAAAGCTAACGTTAGACGTTGAAATGCTCAAGCATTGTTGCTAACCCTTCGCGAGCTTGTAAAATGAATTACCATTTTACTGTGCGCTAGTTTTTCTTATTAGGCATCCTAATAAAATTCGCGGCGAATCCCACACAATGTTGCTGGACCAAGTCCTATCACTCGTAAATTATCAAACCAGCGCTCTTACATCACGAGCTTAAGAAATTTCAACAAAATACAACCTCCCATCCACTCAAATTTTTTGCTTTTTGTAGTTACATCCACTTAAAATTTTTTATATAAATAACACATGCAAAAGATCGATATCACCTAGGAACTTAACATATAATAATCCGTAAACGACACAACGCAAACTTGCAAATTTGACCAAGAAAGTTTAATCGATAAACAGAGATATCTAAATAATCTAATATTTATGATGAAATTAAACGGAACAGCCCCTATTCCCGCCAATCAAACAAACCCAGAAACCAAAGCATAACCAGAACCTGCATAAGAATCCCATAAAAGGGGGCGAAACCCCAATAAACTGTCCTGTAGAAAACACAAAAAGCAAAACTGGAACTCGGAAAGAACCACAGAGTAACCCGATTAAAATTACACACATCAATGACCAATAGGAAAGCAGAAAACAGAAAGTAATTGAGGAGGATAAGGAGAAAAAGGATGACCATGATGCGCATAAATGTGTGCCTCCCTCCACGAGTAAATGTGGTCACCAGGCTTCAGTTCTTCCCGATCGATCCTGTTCGAGAGCACTCCCATGATCCCTCACTCTGGGTTTGTTCACCAACAACAGATCCCTCTCCTAACTCTCGGATTTGTAAGGCTGAAGAAAGCAAGGGAATTTAATGACTCTCACTGCCGGAAAAGGAGAGGGAAAGAGAAATCGAGCGAGGAAGCAAGTGGATTAAAAGCAAATGTTTTCGTTCATTCCTTCGTCCCTAAGCCTGGGCTTGGGAGAATAAATAAGGCACAAGCCACAAGAATAACTCTGCTTAGAAATTCAAAAAAAAAAAAAAAAAGTTGAAGCTAGTTATATTCACTTCATCATGAATATATGTGTGATCAGGTGACTTGGCGTAATGAATGTGAAGGATTTGACTACAATATTTTTCACAATAAAAATATTTATTAGTTAAAAAAGACATCTTGTTGCTTTTAAATCAAAGTAAGAAATTTTGGCCAAAAAATCAAAATAAGAAATTTCTTATGTTTTTTTACTTCAGAAAAAAAGATATCTTTCCAAAGGGAACCAAATGACAAAATAATTTTCAAATAAATTAATTACTTATTTTTAAGCTACAAAATAAATATTGAAATACTAATTATAAAATATAAGAATTATGATGTTTGTAAAAAATTTTTCCCTATATGTCAATTGGCATCTAATTTTATAGGCACAAATTGTTCACACAGTTTAAATTTTAACTTTATTTAGGAAAATTAGAGTATTTCTGAAAATTAAAAAAAAAACAGAGAGCAAGAGGAAAAATCTCTGTTAATGCACAAAGTATAAAAGGCAAGGGAATATTCTTTTAAACGTTGCTGTGGCATTTTGTTTTTGTTACCCAAAACTCACGATAGAAAATCTCCGCCTTGGATTTTTCTTACATTGAGGTTGTTAGACAACAAAATAACGTCTTTTTACATTTTAAGTTAACAAGGTAAACCTATTTATTTTGGCTGTTAATGATGACAGATTTTGTACTAACTTTTCAAAAAGACTAATATTAATAATATTCGAATTCCACTATATTTATTAATACTCCTATTATATATATAATCTATTTACAGTAACTTGCATCTGATTAATGGAAATTGCATATCAAATAAATGTGGAAAAAATCACAAGAATAAGCAAATCATTATAAATACGTCCCATGCATTAGTAAATAGGATGGGATTTTAGAGGATGTTTGTTCAGCTTTTTGAGAAGAAAAGATAAAATTTGAAGCATAATTATTATTGCTGTTTTATTAATATAAAATAATATTACGGTTTTAAATATAAGATTATTATACACATTACAAAAAAGATCTTATATTTATAAGGTCTTATATTTAGAATCGAAGAAGTATATTTATGTTCAATAAGATTGACAAAACTACATTGAAGGAGTATGTAATAACATTTGTTACAAAATCATCGAGATTTCACAAGAAGATCATAGATATTGGTGACATTTTGAAACAATCATTGGCATAATTGTTATACCATTATTTCAGTTAATTTGGGGTTAATAAATTTAATTTATTTTAAGTAATTTTATATGATATGAGATAAATATAAGTTCTGTTTTGCATAAAAATAACTTTTAAAAGTGGCCTCAAACATAGTCGAAAACATTTTGATTTGTTAGCCCACAAGTAATATTACAATTGAAGTGGCAACCCCCTTAGAAGCAAAAGTACATTTTAACTCAATCTTATTTTATTTCTTATTTATAATAATATTACTCTCTGGATCTTAATATAAAGTTAGTTGATTAATTTGAATACATTAAAAAAATTAATTAAATTAATTATTTGTGATAAATATGTGTTGTCTTTTCTAAAATATCCTTACTAATCAAATATATTGACTAGAATTACCATTATTATAAGAAATATCTTAAAAAAATAATAAATATAAAAAACAAAACGAACTGATGTTTTATAGTTAAAACTAAAATAAAAATCAAATAAATTCTTATATTAAGATAGTATTTATATAAGAACAAAATATCCCTTAGATTTGGAAAATAATAAAACCAAAAGGTTAAAGTATACATTTAGTCTTTTGACTTTGAACAAGATTTTAATTTAATTCTTTAATCTTAAAAAGTATACTTTTAGTCCTTCAATCTTAAAATTTTTAAAAAAAATGAAGACACTAAGATCTTACGTGTTAGATAACATATTCTCAAATATTAACATATTAAATTTAACTTTCAAAAAATTCATGATTGTTACAAAAATATTATTAAAACCTAACGAGTTTAGAATTAAAGAACTAAATATTTGTCTTTTACAGTTAAAAATCAAGTTAAAACTTAAAACATTATATAAAATTAAAAGACTCCGTATATAAATTTTGGTCAAACTAAAAAATTTGAAACCTGGAAGTCCAAGCGTCCTGACCTTTTAGCTCTTTTTAAAAAAGTCCACCCAACTTCCGACAAATATTTGTGTGCTTCCCTGCCCCGTCCATATTTGGCTACCCTTCTCCTCTCTATTCTTGTGGTCGGCAATCCTCCTCCGTCATGGTCGCCCCTCCGTCGTGCTGTTTCCTGCTACACATCGCTGCCGCCTTATGGCTTTTCTCCTTTTTTATTTGTGCTACCGCCAGGTCGTCCAGAACTTTCTCCATCTCCTCCTACTTCTTCTCCCTCCGCCGCCCTTTCGATGATTCAAACCCTACTCAAACCCTTAGTCCCTCCACCCACATCAGATTCTTCATCCCCGTCTACGTCGTTTCCAATACCGACGATAAGCCCTCATTCAGCACTGAGATTTTCTTCGATCGCGGCCTTCCTGCCCGCCCAGTCGAGAAGGAGCTGGAAATTGAGCCCCGTGCTTCGAATATGCCCATGCCCTTTGGGTTCTCTTCCGATGATTTTAGCTCCCTCCGTGGTCGGACCAAGGACATTCTAAGTGTTATTGTGGCTTTGCTCTTCGGCGTGAATGTGAAACGTTAAATAAGGGAAAGAGAGAGAGAGGAGAGTCTGATAAAAGAGGAGAGGATGTCGCGGCTAAAACATTAAGAAGAGAGAGAAATGTCGAGAGGAGTGGATCGAAAAACCAGACATTCTACATCAAATGATCATGAGAATGCGGGTCGTTGAACATCTTAAGGTCACTTTCATGACTAATGACTGATATGGTTCCTGTAATTCTTCATATACATATAACAGAGCATTGCAATGATGTCAACGACAATGCGGAGGGTAATGTTATTTTTAAATGACTTGATCATTTGTTGATAAACATCTTACATATTTAAACTCACAAATAAAAACCACACAATATCTTTAACAAACCGTTCAAATTTCAAATAAAATACTCACCAACGGGCGACACACCATTACACTTTTAACACTTGCATTATCCGATACAGTTTTTGTGCACCTGCATCTAGTCTTATTTTGCTCACCTCATTTGCCCTGGCTACTTCATCCGAGCCAGACGGGTTTACAAGCTTTTCACCTCACTTGTGTTGGCTGGTTCATTCAGCCTTGATGGCTCGCAAGACTTTCCACAGGAACTTTGACTACATCACGGCGTACTCCAATATCAGAAGCAAGACGGCTAACACAGTACATGCCATAACCGAAGATACCGCCAGCAGCAAAAGTAGCAGCTAATAAGTATGATGATGCCTGCCCACTCCGGCCTACACCGATGTTTTTGCTCACAACAAGGCATGTTTTGCAGTAAATTGCGAAGTCTTCACAGTTGTTTTTGAAGACATTGTAGACGCCAAATCCATTTTGAAGAAGATATCTAGCACGGTGGAGGACATCTTCAGGTGGGTCAGATGAGGCAAGTGTGCAGGTTCCTGGTCGAGCTGCCATAAAAAATGCTGCTGAGACACCATACTCAAAGCGGTATAGATCACCACCCATGAGAAAACAATCCAAGCATGAAGAAATGACTCCACGAAGCCTTGATTGGCCGCCGCATTTTGGACATGGATTGGCAGCAGAACGAGTGGAAGATGAACCCCGAAAGAAACGGTCCCAGAAAGTTCCTGGGCCACTTTCTTGACCTCCTGTAGTGAAGTTGATCACCATTCCCTCGCCAACATATATTCCTGTTGTACAAAAAGCAATAACCAATGCAAAATAGCCATTTCAGTATAATTAAGAAAGAAAAAAAACGATCCTTGCCATTCCAAAAGAAGATTTGCAGAATTTTAAAATGTGGTTTCAAAAAAACAACTACAGCATGCGAAAAGTTCGAAGGTTGCTCGATCATAGTATGGACAAATAAGGACATCTAGAAATTGTGATAATTAAGAACTTCTAACTTTCGGAAGAAGAATATGTAACAGGATCACAGCCACGGCACTCATCATAACAATATCACCTTTGTGCCTGTTTGAAAGGGCTTACGTTAGACTCAAAGTGACTTATTTTGGGCAGAAGCCTGATTGAGAAATGGAGTGCAGTTTGGAAGGATTTAAACCCAATTGAACTCATCTTTCATAAGCTCATTGTACAGTTCGTTTCCCAGAACTTGGAAGTTGGATCTTAATTTTGAAGAGTTTATTGGACCATTGATGTGTTAGAGCTTATTGCCCTGTTAATATTTTTCTCTTACTTTTGCCATATTATTTCCTCATATTCCTTTCTTGGTTTTTTTCGACCAGCGCTTGCCACCTCAAGTAAACAGATTCTTCATGATGACATATTACTGATCAATTTAAATTCATTCCTAGAGTGAGCAAAACAGGGATAGTCAAAGAATTTAATGTTTTCAAATTTAACTCATTCATAAAATTTTGCTTCTTCATATTAAATTAATTTAAATTTATTATATTATGTCAATTCATTTTTTTTAATCACGTTTTGTTTTATATTTAAAATATTTTGTATGATTTCTCTAAATTTTAAAATTTAATTCACTTATTAAATTTCACTTCTTTGTATTAAATTCATTATATTATGTAAATTCATTTTTTAATCATGTTTCACTTTATATTTAAAATTTTTTTTATGATTTTGCTAAATTTTTAAAATTTTATTCACTAATTAAATTTCACTTCTTCATATTAAATTAATTTAAATTCATTATATTATGTAAAATTATTTTTTAATAATATTTTATTATTTATTAAAACTCATATCCATTTTAGTAATTTTACATTCCATTCATTCAATATCTGTTTGGATCATAGTAAAAATTCTTTGTAAACATGTTTTACGTAAATTAAGACAAAACTATTCTCACATACTTATCTCGTGTTATAAACTACTTATAAGTTATTCCATTTTCCTTTCTGCAATCACATCCACTTAAAATCTTTTATATAACTAACACATGCAAAAGATCGATGTCACCTGGGAACTTAACATATAATAATCCCTAAACGACACAACACAAACTTGCAAATTTGACCAACAAAGTTTAAACGATAAACAGAGATATCTAAATAATCTAATATTTATGATGAAATTAAACGGAACAGCCGCTATTCCCGCCAATCAAACAAACCCAGGAACCAAAGTATAACCAGAACCTGCATAAGAAACACATATAAAAAACACAAAAAGCAAAACTGGAATTCGGAAAGAACCCGACACAGTAACCCGATTAAAATTACACGCATCAATGACCAATAGTAGAGCAGAAAACAGAAAGTAATCGAGGAGGATAAGGAGAAAAGGATGACCATGATGCGCATAAATGTGTGCCTCCCTCCACGAGTAAATGTGGTCACCGGGCTTCAGTTCTTCCCGATCGATCCTCTTCCCTTGCATGATCCCTCACTCTGGGTTTGTTCGCCAACTTAACTCTCGGATTTATACGGCTGAAGAAAGCAAGGGAATTTAATGACTCTCGCTGTCGGAAAAAGGAGAAATCGAGCGAGGAAGCAAGTGGATTAAACGCAAATGTTTTCGTTCATTCCTTCGTCTCTACGCCTGGGCTTGGGAGAATAAATAAGGCATAAGCCACGAGAATAACTCTGCTTAGAAATTCAGAAAACAACGTACAACGTAAAGCTAGTCATATCCATTTCATCAAGCTGTCTCGTCACAGTACTTATTTCTGAAATTATTATTATTTAATTATAAATTCATATAAACATAAACATAAGATACATAATTATGTATGGCTAGATAATTTAATGTAATGAATATGAAAGATTTGACTAAAATATTTTTTATGATAAAAACATTTATTAGCTAAAAGTCTAAAACAGACATCTTTTTGCTTTTAAGTCAAAATAAAAAAATGTTGGCAAAAAGTACAAAATATGAAAAGGAAATCCAATGGAAAAATAATTTTCAAATAAATTAATTACTTATTTTTATTCTATAAAATAAATATTGAAATACTATTTACAAAATACAAAAATTATGCTTGTAAAAATTCTTTTTTCCCCCCTATATGCTAATTTGGTATCTAATTTTATAGGCACGAATTTTTGACAAAGTTGAAATTTCAACTTTATTTAAGAAAAAATAGAGTATTTTTCAAAATTACAAAACGGAGAGTAAGAGGAAAAATCCCCCCTAATGCACAAAGTGCAGAAGGCAAAGAAATATTCTTTTAGACGCTGCGGTGGTATTTTGTCCTTGTTACTTACCCAAATCTCACGATAGGGAATCTCCACCTTGGATTTTTCTTATATTGAGGTTGTTAGACAACAAAATATCGTCTTTTTACATTTTAAGTTCACATTAACAAGGTGAACCAATTTATTTTTGGCTTTTAATGATAACAAAGATTTTGTACTAACTTTTTTCAAAAAACTAATACTGTTAATAATATTCCAATTCCACTATATTTATTAATACTCCTATTATATACTACCTCCGGTCCTAATTATGAGAGTTAGCTGACTAATTTTAAGAAATTAAGGAAAGAAGTTAAGTTAAGTTATTTGTAATAAACATGTGTTATCTTTTTTAAAATATCTTTACTAATTAAGTGTGTTGATTAGAACTATTATTGTTAGAAAGATTATCTTTAAAAAAATGTATAAATATGAGAGACAAAGTAGATTAGAGTCTTATATTTAAGATCAAAATAAAAGTAAAAAAAATCTTATATTAAGGATCGGAGGTGGTATATAATCTATTTACAATAACTTGCATCTCATTAATGGAAATTGCATATCAAATAAACGTAGAAAAGATCACAAGAATAAGCAAATCATTATAAATACGTCTGATGCATTAGTAAATAGATAGGATTTTAGATGATGTTTGTTCAGAATTTTGAGGAAGAAAAGATAAAATTTGAGGCATAATTATTATTGCTGTTTTATCAATATAAAACATATTTATATTCAATAAGATTGACAAAATTACATTGGAGGAGTATGTAATAACATCTGTTACAAAATTATTGAGATTTCACAAGAAGATCATAGATATTGGTGACATTTTGAAACAACCGTTCGCATAATTGTCATACCATTATTTCAGTTAATTTAGGGCTAATTAATTTAATTTATTTTAAGTAATTTTTTAAGTAATTTTGCGTGATATGAGATAAATATAAGTTCCGTCTCGCATGAAAATAACTTTTAAAAGTGGTCTCAAACTTAGTCGAAAACATTATGATTTATTAGTCCGCAAGTAATATTAAAATGATTTAATTATTTACAATAAATATGTGTTGTTTTTTCTAAAATATCCTTACTAATAAAATATATTGGTTAGAATTATCATTATTATAAGGACTATCTTAAAAAAATAAATAAATATAAGAAACAAAATGAACTGAGGTTTATATTTAAAACTAAAATAAAAATCAAATAAATTCTTATTAAGATAGTATTTATATAAGAACAAATATCCCTTAGATTTGGAAAATAATAAAACCAAAAGGCTAAAGTATTCATTTAGTCTTTTGATTTATATAAGATTTCAATTTAACTTCTTTACCTTAAAAAGTAAAATTTTTTTAAAAAATGAGGACACTAAGATCTTACATGTTGATAACATATTTTCAAATGTTAGTATAT